TTTGCCATGACAACATACAACTTTTATTATGTCGACTTGTCAAGATAATCTATCTCGCCATGACAACATACAATTTTTACTATGTCGACTTGTCAAGATAATCTATCTCGCCTTGACAACATACAATTTTTACTATGTCGACTTGTCAAGATAATCTATCTCGCCATGACAACATACAGTTTTTACTATGTCGACTTGTCAAGATAATCTATCCCGCCATGACAACATACAATTTTTATTATGTCGACTTGTCAAGATAACCTATCTTGCCATGACAACATACAACTTATATTATGTCGACTTGTCAAGATAATCTATCTCGACATGACAACATACAATATGTATTATGTCGACTTGTCATAATAATCTATCTCGCCATGACAACATACACTTTTTACTATGACGACTTGTCAAGATAATCTATCTCGCCATGTCGACATGATATGTATATTATGTCGACTTGACAACATAAATTATCTTGACAAGTCGTCAAGTCGAATGGCACTTAGGTGCTTCCGTAATTTTCAGTCAGGCAGTACGCAAAACTTGTTATCATTCATTTTACATGTACTGTATCAACCAATCAAAATAAAGAATTAAATGTATGGCTCGCATGGCTCGCATTACTCGCACATTGGCTCGCATGACTCGCTGGCTCGCACTTTGGCACTACTCGCACTAAAACCGTGTCGATGTGCGCTCATCTTATTCTTGGTAAATAAGCGATTACCGTCAAAGCGAAGGAGACTGTATAAAAACATCGGATTGCTCGATTTTTTACTATTTTATTGAGTGCTACTCTTACCTGTACCTCCTCGTAATTGTGAACGTTTCCTTAACGTATTTGTTCATAAAATAGACTATGTACCGAAATTTCAAACGATCGTATACAGTATTGACTCATACGATTTAAACGGCCCAGATCAAGCAATAATCAAAATACTCTTAGATCGTAAATAAATATAATTAGGCATCATCTGGATGATTATATTCAAAGTACTACCGGTATTAAGGCAGACATCTTTTATTGAAAACCAAACGGATTACCTAAACCTCATACATTATGAAATAAGATTACGCTTCTTCAATCACATGGCTGATGATAACAAAGGGTATAAAATACTCTTTGATGATAACCTCAGCCAGACTTCACGGTACATCTCCCTGGTTTAACAACATGCATCTCAATGAGCAACATCTTGAAATTTACAAAAAAACAAACAAACAAGTAAGTCTCATGGCTAATTTTGAAACCTAATTAAATGAAATAATGTAGAAAGGAACTCCTTTACTACCATTTATTTACTGAACGAGCCAGGGACGTAGCCAGGATTTTGAAAAGGGGGAGCCGTTATGCGAATTACGTATGACCCCCAGCGGGGTCAAGGGGCGGGGTCAAGGGGCGAATCCCCCTGTGAAGTAGCGCACTCTGAACGTTCTTAGGACTGTTTGAGAGGATAAAGTGAAAATTGCAATAGACGCATTATAAATAAACGAAAATATAATTATATAATAAATCAACAGTAGCAGATTCAGATATTCAAAAGAGAGGTGAAACAGGGACTCAGGGAGGGACTTTCACAGAACCACCCACCTCAGCCCCAACCACAGAAAATTAGGGCATCTCTAGATGGCCGGAAATTACACTCTCGCACTTCAATTTGAATTTATTTTAAGGGGGAGGGGGTGCCTTGAATCCACCTCTGCTCAAAACATTCTTTATCCAGAATAGTCATAATCCCGAAAAATGGACATGAAAAACCAGATCACATCCTAAAAACAAACAGCAGTCACTAAGACATACATCAGGAGCCGACTTGATGGAGTTTAATGTCATATCCAGGGAAGGGCACAGATGTTTTGAAAGGTGGAGGGGGGGGGGATTTTGTGAGTCGACACCCACCCCAGCCCCACAATGGTTGGAGCTGAGAAAATTTGAGGAAATAGTGCCTCTAGATGGCTAGAAATGACACTTTTAGTAAAATTCATCATCATCATCACATCACCATTAGTCAAAATGAAGTGCCAAAAAAATTCTCATGATCTTTTATCAGGGATTTTTGACAACCATAGAGATCTTATTAATGTTTTTGTGTATACCATAGAAAACAAAGCTTAAAAACATTGTCTTTGAGTATGTACTTTACATAGGCCTACTTTAAAAACGTGATTTCACAACCTTGCCATGGTGGAAAATTTGAGGAAATAGTACCTCTCGAGATGGCCGGAAATGACACTTTTATATAGTAAAATTCATCATCATCACATTACCATTATAGTCAAAATGAAACGCCAACAAATTTCTCATGATCTTTTATCAGGGATCTACTTAATATCCAGGACAACTTAGGCCTAATTATAGCTTACTAAGCTTTAACTATATATACTACCGTATATTATGATCAACAAATCACAACTTTTCTTCGCATTTAGCACAATTTTCTTCACTTTTTATTGTTATTAATATTAATATCAATTATTACTATCGTCATCATCATTATTGTTATTATTATTAGTAGTAGTAGTACTATTAAACAAACATTTAAAGAAACTTGCAAAAGGATAAAAACGAAATTGAACCATAGTACGGTATCGCATTTCTATCTTGAAAGACCTGGCCTGAGATTTATGGATTTAAGATTTTTTTAAATCACGCTTAGGCCTATCTGTTCTATTAGGCCTATGTATAACGTGTACTGATGCATATTTACATGTTTAGAAGTATTCATTTTAAGTGATCCCAGGAAAGAATTTGTATTGGCTCAAGAATAAGCTTTTAAATGGCCGCGGCTCCCCCCCCCCCCTCCTGGAACGAGCTAGTCGGCTTCTGACCTACTTTTGTTCGTATCGGCGGCGTACAAAGAGTCAAATGACTTTGTGTCTGGCAACCTCGGTGTCTGTGTCTACCAGGAGGAGCCTGGAATTGGGAACGTTTCTCATTGAATGAAGTAGACGGTAAGCAGAGTTATTGCATAGGTATGGGGTGCCATACGCAGCAAAAGTCAATGTTAAAATCAAAATGTAATTGCAAAATTCAATGTCTAATTTATTAAAACGTAGACGTAAATTTCTCAAAATGTAGATCTAGTTTTTCAAAATGAAGTTCTAATTTTTCAAAACGTAGTTCAAATTTTTCCAAATGTAGTTCTAAT